TTTCATTGAAAGATTAGAGACAACTTTTAATTCACGCCTTAGAATACTCATGCCTAAGCTTATAGTGGCAAAAGGAAGATAAATAAAAATAATAGCAACGTCAACACTTACCGACTCCCAATAACCTTATCGATTAAATCATGTACGTTTCACATGTTCGCTTTTATTAAAATGTTTCCAGAGGACGAGCATAGGAGAATGCAGCTCATAGTTAGCCTTATAACGCCGGAGGAGCAAAAGAAGCAAGTGTCCAATGACTCTACACGGGATAATGAAGCCATTCATTAGAGATGAAAACTCTTCTGCACCCTTAATAAGCTTGGTCACGAAACATATAGCAGAACCGACCCACTCTTCTGTGCTTCAGAGAGTATAGGACGTTGAAAACAACCCGTACATATACCTTTTTGTTGTTTATACATAGGCGTTCTCCGCTTAACAGGATACTTGTCGTAGCCGTACAAAATTTGTGATTATTATAACACGGTTTAGATACACCACCATTTCAGAAAATAATCGAATAAGTGTTTTTTTTATTTTTTTTTATTTCGTCGTTAGCAAGCAGAATTTCTATCAGCTCTGACAGAAAAGAGAACTAGGTTAGTTGTAACTTTTGATGAAAATCAATTCTGTAATCGTCGTCATTATTTTTTGAATATTTTTGTAATTAATATAATTTTAATTCAAACCTTGAAGTCAATTTACTTTTTCATTTATGTGTATATATCTCTGAGGACGAAATTTTATCAAAAAATTTTCCATCTTAAGACAAAGGTGCGAAGATAAATTCGAATTTAACTAGCAGAGTAAAATATTTTTGTGGACATCTCGAGAAACTTTTTAAGAATATCTTTCGAACGAGCTTAAGAAATTTTTACTCTTCTTTCCAGAACTATTTTTAGCAACTTCTGGAAATTTGATATAATAAAGAATAAACTTGAGTCTGTAGCGCGGTCAAACTAGAATACGTTGCTCATATTCATCTATATCAGGTGCTTTGGTTTTCTTGTTTTTTATAATTTGAATGGAATAGCTTTCCAAATCCGCTCTTATCTTGCGCCGAACAACTTAACAGAGCTTTGTAGGGGGTTGGTAAGTGTCGAAGTTGTCTTCACATACGCTTCCTTAAGACTTGATTTTGATATTGTACACAATGCATTGAAGATACATTATTTGAAGCTACACTATAACACGGTCTCGATACAACACGGTAGACATTTTTTTGATTTATATTTTATCTAAATTATACCTAATAAAACTACGTCACTTTTTATGATATTTTAGTTTAAGTAAAAATATAAAAAAAATTTGTTATAACAAGGTCTCGACACCGCAAGGTAAAATGAATTAATCTGGAGATGCCTATATAGGCATATGCAAGGTATTGGGTGGTTGAACTGTGTCTAACTTTATGTGAAAACAAATAGCTACAGTGTAAATATCGCCTATTGGTCACCATCATCTTGTAGAATGGGTCATGACTGTTCGCTTACTTCTGCTTTAGTTTTAATATGAGTCAATTATTCCTTTATTCAACAATAATCGAATACATTCTTGGTGCAATCCTCGCCAGCTTTGGCTGCCGTTATCGTTATTTATTATTTTTTCGCTCAAATAAAAAAAAAAGCCCATTGAAATTTCTCGCTTCATTTTATTGCTTCCGCCTTTATTCACACTAGTAGCTGGTACCATCGCTAGTAACAATATTTCAGCGTTTGCAAAAGTCCAACGTAAAGTTTTTATATCTTTCGGATGCGAAGCATTTCTAATGAGCCCATGGGAAAAGCAATGATAATGAACTAACTGTTGCTTGCATATTTTCGAAACTCTTCCAACGATTTGATCCTTGTACAAAATTCATAACGCAGTTTTTGCTGCGAATTTATTAAAACGAGCAGTTTGGCATAATAAACATCGCAAAAACCATGAGAAATTTCGTGATATATGTTTGGCAGGTATGCTTGCGTAATGCTTTTGCAAGAACTTTTTTATAATCTTAGAATTCAGGCAGAAGTTAAACAGAACGAGGATATGCCAGGTATGACAGGCAAGGTGGTATGGTACACAGTGTGATCAGGTTGGTAGGGCAGTTGAGGAAAAGTTGACCAAATCAACAACCGTAATATAAGTTGAGATTGTTAAATGGGATTTTTTTTGTCTTTATACTGCTACAAAAATCACAGGTTTTGAAAAAATAAGCTTACAGGTGAATTTTTCGAATTTTCATGACGTGAAACTCCTTAAAATGTTGGAAAAAAACCTAGATTTACGATGCTCTACCTGTCAGACTATAAAGTAAATACGTTGTGTTCAGCTGCCGAACGACGACAAAATTAATATCCATTCGAGGGAATTTTGGCAGGTAAAAGCATTTACAAAATTACAAGAATTAAATCTGGTATCGGTTTTGAGAAGGGTACAAAAGCAGAGTATTTGCTAAAGCCAAACGCATTTCAATCGCGATATTCAAAGAAGGAAGTTCAAAAGAAGTGTTAAAACATTGTTTTTTGCAAAAGCTTTTGAAAATAATTTCTTTATAACTAGAACTAGCTAGTTGGTGCAAATAATTAGTGACGAATTATAGAGTGAACTGCGCGAAGCGGGAACAATTCTAAGGTGGGCAGCACAAAACATATTCGTAAGCCAAGTGTTTAAAAATTATTAATAATACAGCAGAGCTATTATATAAGGCAATTCTTGTACTGAAAGCTGTTCTCTTCGGTTATCGAAGCCCTCATATGCGATGCTTTGAAATAATATAAATCAAGGCAATATATACCGTGTTATATCGAAACCATATCTTGGGTGTAAGGTGTATAATTTTATGATAGCTTAATTTTCATTCCGAATGTTCATATAAATGAAAAAGTAAGTTAATTACGGGATTAAAAAAAAAGTCAAGCAAAAACGTATTAAGGCCAACCATTAGATACTTTGTGGAAACGCCAGGAAAACAAGTAAAGCCATGGCCCTCTGTTAAATACTCTAGATCCTAGTGGTCCGGGCCGAAATGCTTTCGATAATGTTCGTTCATAGGCCAACACGCGTCAGTACATTAAATTTCATTAAAGTTTGTCGAAACTTGTTACCTGTATATGTTGAAAAGAAGAAATCAAGACGGATAGGCAAGCTTTAAAATTCTGAATCGATCGGTACGATAGAAGGTTGGTCCACAAACTTAATTCGCAAGATTAATTTTTATCGAAAATTATGGCAAATTTTTTTTTTTTCAAAGTTGCTTGAAATACATATTTCATTACATGAAATCGTGTTTTATCAAAGCCGTGTTGTAATATACGCACGTTGTACTCTGTTGTATTGAAACAGTGTCTGACAGGCATTCCGTATTATACGAGAGACGCCTGTATTCAACATAATAGCTACAAGGCTGTCCTCATTAGAATTAAACAAAGAGTCAGCTGCTTTTTTTACCTTGTGACAAGGGAAAATAATTGATTATAAAGTGATCGGGGATATTCAATAAAAACTTTAATCGACGTAGTATCATAAATTACCTGATACAAGATATGCTTGTCCATTGCTAGTTAATTTATTTATTATGGCTTAGTATTTGCTTACTTCTGCTTTACTTTTAGATCAAAGTAAACGAATGACTCGTTTGTTTATTAATAAGCGAATACACTCCTGTTAATCTAAAATAGATTTTTGATACTGAAAAAAAAGCAGTAAGATGACTGATAATTCAAGCGTGATCGTGCCTTTGGTCCTATGATTTTTTTTCATTTTTGAAGGCCTTAAGAGCTTGATGTTTTATTTTTTTTTTTTGGTGAAGAGAACTGTGTTATGTACAAAAAGCTATTTATTTAAAGCGTTTATAAGGTTAAAAATATCAATTGGGTCTTTTTACTACCTATTCGTACAGCGCAGTACGTTCCCTTGCAGTAAAGAGTTCTATTTCGATTTTTGACATTTTTATTTGTTATTCGACAAACAGTTAGTTTTTTAAGAGGTTCGAGTTTCTTCACGTGAAAATTGCTCAATTCAATAGGAGAATCCGTGTTAAACAATAGATGAAAGCTTTGCAAATAATTTTCTGAAACAAGAGAAACATTCAACGAATTGAGGGGTGAGTTAAAGTAGTGAGCATCAGAAAGACCGATCGAGATTTTATAATTTTTCATTGGGCAAACTATTATATATGCAGGAGATTTACCTGGCATAGGCCAACAAGGAATTAAGAGAAGATAACGATATTATAGCAACAGATAAATTGCAAAAATTACAATTTACCGCTGGGTCTCTGATGATGTACATTTATTATATATATATATATTTTTTTTTTGTTTTTCATTAGGACCACGACTAAATGCGCAATAGAGTACTATTACGAGATAAGGAGGGAAGACGAAGAACTGGATAATTTAAAGTTGAAGTGGAAGAGAAGAAAGAAAGACCGCCGTCGCCACCTCCTCCTCCTCATCATCATCATCATCCCCATCATCCTAGCAACGCAAACAACTAACGGCAAGGCAAGCACGTAAGCGTTTTTGCATAGAAAAAAAAGCTTAAACAAGTGAATAATTAACAGACTGATTAATATAATAATAATAAATTAATAATTATTAAAAAAAGCAAGTATACATATAATCAAAAAAGCTATATATACATATAAACGTATATAAGGAATTACATATATAACACATATTGTAAATAAGGAAAAGTCTAAAAAGAGACTATAAGAAAGAGACCGGGAGAAGGAAAGAGACGAGAAAGGCGTGCTTTCGGCACACGAAAGGTGAGCAGTGTATCGGTGTAAGGCCTATTAAGTGCATATTGAAGGCAACGGTTTGGCTTTTTAGCTGAGAAAAAAAAATCTACATTTGTTAAAAAATTAAAGACGCAGCATTGCCATTCCAAAAGCACCACCAGCTTATTAAGAGCGGCCGAAGCGATACAAGAATCCCCCAATTATAATTAATAGCAAACAACATTGATTTTATTGTGTGTGATATTTAAAATTAAGCATTAATTTAAAAAAAAATAAAAAACAGATAAACATAATAATCAACAATAAAGACGAGCCGACGAAGACGACGACGACCAACGTTGCTCAGAAACGTCAGATTAGTGGAAGATAGAGAGTGAGAGAGAGAGAGAGAGAGAGAGAAATTGTTTCAGTGGAAACTAAAACCAAACAATAACAACAATTGTACTATGACATACTCGCACAATAGCGTTAGTAACAATCTTAAGATGACGACAGCAACAGCAGCAACTGCCGCCGCAGCATCAACTATACGTACGAAAAATGTGTCGCATGGGGGAGGCGGCAGCGGTAATTCACCTCCATCAACACCATCCCTAAGTGCACATTCCAACAGTATTGCCAGCAGTACAAATTATCAACAACAACAACAACAGCAGCTAATATTAAGCTCTTCACCCCCAGGATGTCCAATGTCCTCGGGCGCATCTACCACCTCGAATTGCAGTAGCAGTTCGAGTGTTTCTTCATTAGGCTCGGCCGGTAACGGGAGCGGTGGATATTTTGGCTCCGCCCGAAAACAGCAACGTAACCGGCAGCAGCAACGACGTTCACCCCAGCAGCAAGCACAACATCAGCCGCTACACTACCAGCAAGCCGGAAGTACAAATAAACGTTACGGAGGCAGCGGACAAAAGCAGCATGACGGTCAACGTTCGCCTCAAGGTCAGGCGACACGGCAATCGCCTGCTTCGTTGCTCGGTGGTGGATTGAGCGTTCTGTATAACACACCTACGGGATTGGGACATAATATGGCCCGTAAATCGCGATCCAAACATACAAGTCCTTTGGTGTGTGTTAACGGTAATGGCAGTGGAGGAAAAATTTCGCCAACTGTTCCGCTTATACCCACTGCTTTAACGCATTTCGCCGGCAGCAAATGCTTTGATGCTCCGGCGCCCACTGCTTTGCCTAAGCCGCCCGAGCATTGGACTTTAAATAAAAGCGAAGAGAAGATGACCAGCAGCGCTGGTCCAAGTCTACAAAGTGTGATTAACGCCCGTTATAACCACCAACGTCATCATCATCACCATCATCATCATAATCACAATCACAACAGCAGCGGTAGCAGTATCAGCAGTTATGCTATGGACGCTCATACTTATGGTGGTCATGTGGTTAAGAGCTCTAAACGAAATCTGCTCGATGACTTTGATACGCACAATTTGAAATTGTTGCTCAACGTGCAATCGTAACCGCATTAAACAAACGACCCGAACGCATATCGATATAATATATGATTAATATCTATGACAACTGCAACAGCAACAATAGCGTGTAATTAAAACGCAATACAACCACCAAACAACCAATAATAATAATAATAATAATAAAAATATTTTAATAAATCGACATAATAGTAGCAACAACATTTATAATTTTAAAAATATAAACAAAATTTTCTAAAAACCTAAACTTAAACGGTTGGAAAAATCTCAACAGTAATATCAACAATCAACCAACCAACCAACCAATCCTCTTACAAATGCTTGTGATCTCAAGTATAAAACATAAATAATAAAATAAAACCTTAAAAGAAAAGAGTTAATAAGAAGGAAATGTTAAACCAAAACAAAACTCTAAATTCTATAACAACAACAAAATACAAGAGTTTCTCGATATAAAATAACAACAAGAAAAAAAATGAGAAGAAGAATCAAAACCAATAAAATGCCAAAAAAATGCAAAATTCATAATCATTGTTTAAAAAGGAAAGAAAAGAACAAGAACATCTGTGAACTTAATTAAAAACAAAAAGAGAAAACTTTATAGAAAAAAACTTGCAGAAGAAAGTCTCTGATAGCAAAGTTTTACCGATAAAGATCACACCACTGTCAAGCAGAGATTCTTTTCTGTTACATCAGTAGCAACAAAATACGCTGCACGCATACACATCGATATTCACATTTTTTTTTTCGTAGGAGAAAAAGTTTTTTTTTTTTTTTTTTTAAATTTAGAAAAGAAAAATATGAAGATGTTCTTGAACGTGATATAATTATAGAGAGACTTTAATTATATTATTAAAGAAAAAACGGAAAAAGAAAACAAAAAAAATTAATGAAATAAAATTAGGAAATATGACAGATAAACAAACTGAAAAGAAAATTGAATTAAACCGTAAGAAAATGAAAAAAAAAAACAAAGATTCATCTACAAAAATTGTTTTGAAAAAGGTACCTTTTTACTTAAGGTAAACAGAATAATAGTAATAACAGCCGACCGAAAAGAAAACCATAATTACAAGCGTCGTTAGTAAAACAAAGACAGACAACCCACCAAAATACTATAAAAGTAAATAATAATAATAATAATAATAATAATAATAATAAAAGCTAAACAAAGAAATACAGGAAAATAATACAATCGATTAAAAATATAAATGAAACACTTTTTGGCCAGATATCAATATATATGTATATATACATATATATATATATATATATATATATATATCAAAAAGTGAATAATTGAAGAGCAGCTTTACGATGAAACAAACTAAGGACGAGTTGATCTGCGATTTACGTCGTCATCACCAGCTTTAATTCTCACAGTACCATTTGTAAGAACCTTGAAATCTTGATGATGAATTGGCAGCATTTTGTTATTATTTTTTTTTTTTTTAAATCTAGTTAAGCACATTAGATATTGAAACTAAAAAAAGTTTTTTTTCTTTCATAAAAGCCAAACATTTTTTCAAAGAAGAAGAGCTTTAAGTACTTTTTTTTTTGTTTAATAACGTTATGTATAAATGTATTGTATAAAAAAATTACTTCCATGTATATATGATTAACTGTTCATTTTCGTTTCGCGCTTATTATTTCTTCTTTTTTTTTTTTTCTAACTCTATAAGCCATCGTTTGCAATATTCATGTTTTTGTAGTTAATCTTTCGTAGACTACAAAATCCAGTCATATTTTTATTTATTTGTATTAAAATTTTTTTTCTTATTTTAGATGTTTTAAGAATTGTCTTTACTTTTGTAAATTAATGAAGTTTTAAAATCTGTTTTATTTATATGTACATATGTATATATATGTACATATAAACACATATGTATGTACATGTATATATATATATATATAAATATATATACATATATGTTTATATTTACATATATATACATTTTTTAAAAAAAATTTTTTATTAAAAAGAAAGAAAAACAAAAATGCATTAATAATTTTTCAATCTTTATGTATATTCTGAAGCTCTTGACTCCTTTTATATTTTTGTAAATATTTGTAATATTTAAATTGAAATTCTGTTTGGCTTTGCAGTATTTTGTATATTTTTATTCCAGTTTCTTAAAAACAAATTATTTATAAAAAATTTTTATGTAAAATGATATGCAGATCAGTGATATAATTTGTAATATTTTTGAAAAAGAAAATTTTTTTTATTTTTGATATATTTTTTAAAAGTGACTTGAATCCGAGTACCTCTTCTTTTGTTATTCTTTTTTCTGTTAGCTTTTTTTAAAATATAAAACAAAAATTTGAGAAATTACAAATTAATCGTTATATCGATACTCCATATACTTGAAACATTTTGTACATTGTATATAAATATATTTTTAAAAGTGAAACACAAAGAAGAAAACTGTTTTTAGTTTTAATTTAAATTTTATGAATGCTTTTCTTTCTTTTTTCTTCTTCTTCTTCTTTTGTTATATAAGAACTGTGAGAGTTTGTAGTGGTGAGAAGAAAGCTGCCTGCATTACCAATAATGATGACAGAAATAAAAGAAAAAATAAAATATATCTTTCACCTCACCTACTATCCTCCCATCCCACCCTCTTCTACTTTTGCTAATTTATTGTAAAGAAAAACAAAAAAAAGCCAAATATTTTATAGAAAAAATGCACTTCATTTTGTACAAAGCGAACTTAACACAACAACAAAACTTCTTAAGATTTCATTTATTTTTATTTATAATTTTAAAGATCCTCTTTATCAAATTTTTCTCCTAAGATTTCTTTGCTTATAAAAAAGAAAAAAAATATTTTTTTTAAAATTTTTTTGTTTTTACAAATCAAAGAGATTTTTTTTTTAATGTAATAAATAACGTGATATATGTATATGCAACTTTTTTTTTTTTTGTTTTGCAATGAAAAACAAACCAGTTAAAGGAGCAGTGCTCTGTTTTTTTTCTTTTATACATGTGGCAATGCTTACATTATCAACAGATAATTCTTAACTCGAAGAACCGTTTTGCTGCTTTACACGCGGACTACCTTGGCCCGGTTTAGTTTTGTCCATCGTTTTCACGATCAGTTCTTTTCTCGGCGCGTTTAAAATCTCTCCTCTCCTCGTTAATTGGAGCTTCATTTGTTTGGATTGGAGACTTGCCTAGCGGAGAATAGTATATCTTTAACGTCAACTTGCATCTACGTACAAATTTTAATTTCTGTCTTTGATAAGCAGCCAGTGCTCCGCTATGAGCTATAAATTAACTTTTCGCCTATGTAGACTGTAATAATTATGTTTGGTCCCAAGAGCATTTTTGAAACTAGGATTGAAAGGTTTAAAGGCGGCTTTTAAACCAACAAAAATTTTGATGTTTGTGGTTTGTCGATCTCATTCTTCTAGTTCTGCTAGAATTTTTAGCCATTTATCAGCAAACTGATTGCACATTCATAGAGCTTTTGATCAGTACATAATTCTTGAAGGATTAGCAATAATAAATAAATAGAGTACATTGGGACCTGGTCCACCAATATATACCCTACACCAACATATTTTATAGATTTATTCATATAACTGCTTTTCAAAACAAGGTGTTACTTGGGAAGCGATCCAAAAGTGGTTCGATATGAATCGTATTCAATAGTGTTCGTGCTTGGGCCAAAACACTGCGGTGTACAAGATTAGATCAATTCAAAAAGTGATTACATATATATGATAAAAGATAGGCCTATCTCAAGTGTTGTGGCATGCATATGCACTAACGTAATATACCCTTGCGTTGGAAGCTGGGTGGGGTTTAAAAAATTTGCAAGTAAGCATCCTATCAAATAGATGTTTTGACGAGTTCGCTGTTGGTAATGTTGATGTTGCTAGACTTATATAAACAAAGAATTTTGCATTTTTTTTATTTAAAAATAAAAATAATAATTAATATAAATAAAAAAATAAATAAATTTTTTCCGCTTTCTCTTCCGCTTTCAAACAACGCCAAAAGCCAGCTTAAGGTATTTTGTTTTAAAATGTTCACACTAATGTATTTGCCAAACTTATACACATATATATAAACGTATATATATGCATATATATATATACGTATATATATACAGAGAGAAAAATGCAAAAAATGAGAATACCTAAAGTACAAAATTAAAACTTTAATATGTATAAACAACAAAAATTGTATAAATAATAAAAAAAAGCAAACAAATAAAATCATTTTAAAAATAAAATTTTTTAAGCTGGCTTTTTAACAAAATGTAAAACGAAAACAAAATTTTTAAATGTAACCAAAGGGAATGCAATGAAACCTGGTTTATATTTTTAGTTTTTGAATAAATTGAAAAAAAAATTCACTTAAATTTTTATTTATGAAAATTATTTATATTTCTTTAATAACAATATTTGTTTTACAGCAAAGGCAGCCCTTCGATTCAATGAGATATAGACTTGAAATTTGCACACACACACACACACAGAGCCCTGAATCTCCTCTACGATGCTAGCTTAAATCAAATCAAGTAAAAATATTAAAAGTATTATAAGAATGGCGAGGTCTTTCGAGAAGCAACTTGTTGTGAAATTTGATTGCAAGGCAGTCACAGAAAACAATATATATATATATATATATATGTATATATATGTCGAAAACACGTTTACTACGGATCGAAAGATGTAATATGGGCGTTTTTTTTTTTTGTTTAATAGTCTCCTGCTCTAATAGTTATTGTTTCACGGTATTAATAATTCTTGAGTTTACTTGTTCATTTGCTTAACAAGCTTCCATTTCACATTTCCTAGTGCAGCTTTGCCTTTCAACCCAAGTTTAAACGGCATTTAATTACGAAAAGAAAGTTCAAAGTAATGCATTTCAAATGCGTAGAGGATTATGGGGAGTGTTTGATAAGACATTTCATCGTTCTTCGAACGCTGATCCTTTTTTATTACATAAAGCATAGATTTTTAAAACAATCCGACGTACTTGATTAGCAATAAGCTAATAATTCGTAGTAATCGTAGTAAGCTTAAAATTTTCGAAAAAAAATAGTCCGAAGCGAACGCGTTTTTGGCAAAAGTTTTTAAAAAAATCGCTATACATAAGACCTGTTTGCTCTAGTAAAGCAATTTGTTTTAAAAAATTTCGAAAATTTTAACCTTTCTACGTATTAATATATAGTAGAGGAGATTTTGCGAGACACGAGCGCGTACACGCGACAATTTTTAGATATTCTTCTTCTAACTTTTGTCTTTCCTGAGAAACAGTTTGCAAATAGTTTTGTTCCAGAGATAACTCTGGTCTGATTAATCGATAAATCTAGATAGTTGAAATTTTCTCACACAATTTCTAATACAATATCTGTTCGTTCACATTATTTTGTTTTTTTCGAAATATCTTGAGTGAAATGTTCTTTCCATCTACATTGAATAGAAAAAAGTAATAGTTTTCCCGTTAAACAAATTTTGAGTGCATAAATGGGATTGGAATGAGGACCTGGCTAAGAGCTTTGCACAATTGCGTTGCTCTTTTTCAACTAATGAAGCTTATCTGATATCAATTTCGTTCTGCAACAAACTGCCATTCAATATAAAGTATTGAGCGTTAATAGATTAAAGGCCAATAGAGCAGATGCAAAACATTCATTCTCTTCGCGGCATTCAATCATGTCTTATACGTTTAGTGCTAATTTTACTGAATTCAACGAGATAATGCAATCGTTAATGCAATCAAATATTATTTTCATTTTATTATGTAAGCAACTATGTATTTTCTATTTATAAAATTTGCATTTGCATCCACACTAACAGGCCAAACTTGTACAAAATGTTTGGATCTCGCGAGAGCATTACATGTAGAATCGGCATTCTATCTCAACTTTGCAAGTTAATATAAAAATTCCGGTTTCGTATTTACATATCGGGTAGAGCTTTCGTTTTCGTCTTAGACAACTCTTTTCCAAAATGAATCTAATAATTAATTAAATCGTTTTTTCGATTCGCTCCTTATACGAGAAGCATATAAAGCCGTGTGTACATATATAGGGTGTCCCACAAAAAAAAAGTGCATAGACATTGCGTGACTATAAAAGCACTATTCATTTAGATGAATTGCAGATTAAGAGTGCAAATTGAAGAAGACGGCGGCAGGATTAGTTTAGTCAACGCAAATGTTCAAATTGATGCCCCTTTTTGATTCCCACATTACTGATAACACGATGCAAACGCGGCGAATTATTTCATGAAGATTTTCCCTCAACTGATCGTTTATTGTCGGTTTTGTCAGATACATTTTATCTTTAATGCGTCCCTAGAAAACAAAATGCAGCGACGTGAGGTTGCGGTAAGAGTACGAATCGGGGCCATTCGATGGCCCCTCTTCGCTCATCCATCTGTTCGGAAGATTTTCACTGAGATAAGCTCTCACATCCATCTTACTCACGAATATTAGGCACAACGTTTTTCTACAGCAGTTTCTAATTAGCGGCATACAGTGACCCTCTTATCAAAAAAGAAAGAATGAGGTATTAAAGTGTGTGTTAGGATACTTTATTTATTCTAATTCCCGGTAGAAAATGCCGATTTAATTACAAGAAAATATATTTAAGAAAACATCATCGGTTTAACATCATCGTCGCCTAATCGATGATTTTGATGAAATTAAATTTCTTGTTAGCTTAATTTCTACTTAGAAAAGACTTTCCACAATCACTTACTCTATCATTAACGCGTGCCGTTTCTAGTAGCAGACTTTTCTCTCTACTCTATCGCCACTTTCCTTCGCCGATTTCAAGAACCGATTTTTCTCTCTAATCTGTCATCATTTTTCTTCGCATTCGTTGGACTTGTTATTATCATCAGTAGTATGCCATTTCCAAGACTTTTTATATATGTTAGTTAATATTATGTTTACGAATTTTGATTTCGCCGATTTGTTTTGTGCTTTCACGAGTTCTCTTCTAGAAAAATATTGATGTCTTCATTAATTAATTCAATTTACGTTCAGATATTAAAGGAAATGCTCGTAGAAATTCTCTTCGGCGACGGCTTTAAAAATACATACATATTTTTATTATAGCGCTTTGTTACAGAGACTAGCCGATAGAAAAGCTTTAAGCATGTTAGTTGAAAGGATACATTGGTCGGTCCAAATCTATTCCCTGCCGCAGTTTGTCGAAAATAGTTGCAAGAAACCTGTTGCCTTTGCTGTGGACAAGGATATTGTTAATATAAATAAAATAAATTTTCCCGAAAGGTTATTTAGAAACTAACTCCTACATGCACACACGAGTAAAAACTTGACGTGTTGTTTGCACATTTCTAAAAAAATGTCTTTTTGTGACATTAAAGCTTTAAGAAAGATTTAAAGTAATATCGGATGCTATAACATTTTTGATCCTCTCGTATACTGCTTTTGGAAAGGAAATCGATCAAAATAAAAAGAAAAAAAATATTAAAAATACACAAAAAATTAAAAAAAAAAAGGAAAAAGAAAAAAATTAAAAAAAAAAAAATTAGAAAACTCTCTAAATGTAATCCAAAAGAAATTGAATAATATATTGAAAAGTGAAGTGAATGAAGATTTACGAAAGCATAACAATGTACAATAAGCACAAAGTAAATTAAAAATGTTTCTCTCTGCTATTGATTAAATACAATTTCAAAAATGATTAAAGGCGAATTTTTATACCAACCAGATCCGGACACTCCAGAAAGCACATGTGCACATAAGGACAGTGTAACGAGAATTTTGCTCTGTCCGCATGATCTGTATAAATCGAAGAGTGACAAAAATTGAAATAAAGCGCGGCTTAATTGTGAAAAGCGGAAGGATTAGGTCGCGAAAACCTACACAATAGTGGATAGTTCTACAGCAAGAAGTGACAATTTCATTCATTTGAAATACTACTGAAAAAGGTTACGATGAAAATATGCACGATCGGTCCGTGTGGGTGTTCATTGCTACCCAAAGGCGATGAATGGGTATCTAGGGTTAAAGTGAATACATTTTTTTTTTTTTTTTTTTTTGATAACTTTAATGTAAATTTTGTTTTTAAAGCTATAATAAAATCTCTTCCTGTACGTTTTTAACTAAAGTTGTAAATTTTGCAATCAAAAGTATAAATAAATAAATAAATAAAATTCGGATATCTATATGAACACGTATTAGAACAATTTTAAAAAGCAAGATAAAAATACAAAAAATTAAAATATTTTAAATGAAAAAGAAAAATCGAATAACTGATTTATATAAAAGTTTTATTAAAAAAAAATGAAAAAATACAAGACATTTCGGTGAGAATGGACCGAAGTTTTCAATACTCGAATTGTACAGATTATAGATAATATCGAGATAAGATCGCGGAACGACAAAAAAATCCACTCGATCGATTAATTAAATAACAAAATTTTCTTGCTAATTCTTTTGTAACTATTTAGATTGATTTTCTTCCATTTTTTTTATTTAAAAAAAAAAAATGTTGAAATTTTTGTGATATTAATGGTAATATTGTTCATTTTTCCTTAAAAAAAAAAATGCATTATTAAATTATTATAAAAAAAAGAAAAAAATTGCATTCGCTCTGTGGCCAATTTTTGATATCCACGACCTTGGTTTTTGCAATATAAAGAAAAATAGATGAGACGGAAAATGTAGGTGTAACCGATCGAGAAATAATTTTACCAAGCTTTACATCAATAAGCGAGTTAGCTGTTTTACAATCGCGGCCGGTCAATAAAATTTAATCTTCATAAGCTGCAGTGTAAAGAATTCATATTACAACGTGCAGCGTTTTAGTCCTATTTTTGCGGTCAGGAAAATTTCAACAGTAGAAACGGACAAATAGACGAACAGAAACATGAATATATATATATTATAAAGTCCTCGACTTGTATTTCTGGAATGGTGCAAATGCTAGCATAGAAATGTTTGATATAAAAATAATCTATTTTTTTTTTTTTTTTTTAAGCGAAATTATTTAAATGAAAGTAATTCATGAGTTAAATATGAGAAAAAAAATTTTTTTTATAAATTTTTAAAACTTTTTAAAAGCTTTTATAATAATTATATTTGAAACATTTTTAATTTATATTTTCTGTTAATTCTTTCCCATTCATTTTTTTCAAATATATATGCATATGTATTGCAGAGACGCAGCAATTCCCCAGTTTAGTTATACTTAAAAAAAAAAAAAAGAAAAAAAGTCTTTGTAAACACAAAAAAGATTAAATTAAAAAAATGACGTGTGTACTTCCATTAATTTCTTAGTTTTTTCTTTATTTTAATGAAAAAAGAAAACAAAAAAAAAAAAAAAAAGAATCAGAAGAAGTAAATAAAACTAAATGACTTTTAAAAAACGCTTAGAA